CCACTCTCCTGGATCCGTTCTTGGGAATAAGGATCGTGTAAACTCAGCCCAGCGAGAATGTCAGAATTTGCCCAGCCTTGAATCGCACTGTCAAAGTTGCAACCTACAGCTAAAGGCAGCAGAATTCGTTTGGGTGGCTTCTGACTTCATTTATGCATGGTGGCGTTTGCACTTCAGAGCACTGGTGGGCACTGCCTGCAGACCCATTTCGCTACTTTTGGTTCTCTCAGCCATCTCCGATCTGCATAGGCAGCCGTCTTTGTCAGGCAGAGTCCAGGGCCATGGGTACGTAGTCAAAGTACAGGTTTGCATCACTAAGGAAATTGGGCAACAGCGGGGTACTCCAAAACACATATATGGTTTAGGTATCAGGTTCAGAGAAGCGAGCTTGTTCGCAGAGCCTGCAATCCCATGCTTCTCCTTGCGTGTTGCTTGTTAACAAGACTCCCTATACACATCCATTTGCAACAGCATCCAACCGGTGCAACTCATTTTATCCATCCTGCTCGCATTGGTTTATCAGCTGGTCCAGATGATTACGTTTTCCTCAAATCTGTATCCTTTGCATTGAAACAAAGGACCCGGCAAAAGGGCGCAGTCAGAAGCAAACATGAAGCAGTGAATTCCAGCATCCATTCCAGGCTTACACACACCAACGGGTTTTGGTCACCTGGACCATGTCTTCACATGAAAATCTGGGTAGTAACCTGGCTCTTGAGGTCTGCCTGACGTGACTCTCCCAGAAGTGTCCTGTTTGCGTCTGCCCGTAACTCCCACTCCACTATTTGCTCTGGTTCACCCCATCCATGTCCCAATCTCGCTTGCTGCCGGCCTTCTTGTTTTGGCTGACCACTCTGTCACTTAGATGTCCTCTCACGTCATTATGACGCTCCCCTCTCACGCTAGAGACCAAGGACCCAGATGGGTTGGGAATAAACCACCTCGTATGAAGATTGGTCCGGGAAGTTCCTTCATTAACGGGGAGTCGCACATATCAGGTGCTTGTGATTTTCCAAGACTGTACACATGGCTTTTTGCATGAGATGTAGCTCCCATGAAGCTTTTGAAGCGCCTGTAACGGTGCAAGATCATGAAGATCACAACACCCCTTATGCACCGTAGTACTTCTCCAGAACCCTCTTGAATTTTAACGATTCGAAACAGTCTTTCACAATGGGCTGAAAGAAATTCTGAAAAGCTGGATCCAAACATTTCGCAATGGGCTTGATGAAGTTCTGAAAAGCTGGATATAAACACGCACTCGTCCTTAAGGGAAGCCTGGGATGAGGTGATGTGCCGTGATGAGCAGCGTTCATTTCTGATGTTGTGGAGCATTATGGAGCATTAATGATTCCTGTGCCTCGCACCAACCTGTTGACATGATTTGGGCATGATTTCGGTTCCGTGCTTGTGAGCCATCCACAACTGCTCCTTCGGTAACGGGATTGTAGTCACCACCGTGTCGTGCTCCCGAAAGGCATGGTGATGATGCAACCTGGCGGTCTTTCTGCACCTGTGACGTCTGAACAGACGGCTGCCATTTCGAGCCACCAGCCTTCGAGGTGCTGCAACCCGATGTACCGCATGTGAGCATAGCCTGACTGCGGCCATGCTTCTCTGTGGAGGTTCGAGGGTGCGGACGTTGACGTCACCCGGTTGCCTCCTGACCATGTTCCAATACAAATCGGAGGCTGCTGAACTTACGCTGTCCCAGTGGGTGTCATGGTGGCAAGTTGCATGCCTAATTACTGCTGCCAGGAAGCGGTCCTGCTGAGCGAAGGCGGGCGGGAATCATAGTCACATGGAGGTGCAGTCTGAAGTCCGCCAGTCGTTGTAGTGGGGCCCTGCTTTGTCCTAACGTTTGAAGATGGCTATGAGCAGACAGCACAACGTCAACGTGTCAACCACCTGATACCCTCAGGGTGGAAGCCAACCCGCCAGCTTGTCCGGACTTCAGGCTTCTTGGCGCTTTTGCTGAAACGCAAATGGCCATGCGACGACATTGCTGCAACTGCAGGGTGCAAGTTCGCGCAGACGGTACTTTCATTGGCACAGCCCGTTCGCACTCGTTTGGAGGTTCGGAGCTTGCGCGAGTAGCAAAAGTTTTGTTGCAGCACAACCTTTCCTGTGTGGTTGCGTTTCTTGGCCGCTGCTTGGCGGGGTGCCAGGTGTGGAGCGTCGACAGACTCTTGCCTCAGGTGGGTCCTGTGCTTAGCCAAACTGGCAGAGTTTCCTGTTGCTCGCGGGGATGGCAATGCTTTTGATGATGTATTCTATATAACTATATAACCCCAATATACCCCAATATATACCCCTGAGAATCAAGGTGCGAGATGCCACGGTCGGTCCGCCACTGCCAGCCGTTTAGTCCCGTGGGACGTACACTGGGCATGTCTTTACAGTTTGATCAAAGGAATCCCGGGCTGCCGTAGCAGACATGTCAGGCGACCTACGGGGTCAGCTGCCGATGTCAGTCTCCATTACGCCGTCATCACCAAGTGGGTCTTTTGCAAATGCAGCAGGCTGGCAGGGCATGGGAGAACTGAAGTAACGTAAGCCTTGGCTTGACATGCTTGACCACGGGAATCTACTGTTGCATGTGGCTTCAGTTGCTCCACTGCAATCTTTGGATTTCAAGAGATTCTGTTGTACGATGGAGGCTTTTCAAGACCAGCAGACGTCTGTACCTCAGGGCAGTCAGTTGCATTCAGCTGGCCAAGTGGAGTTACCCCGAAAGGGTTCGCCATGGGTGCAGCATAAGCCAAGATCCAGAAGGTTCTTGATAACCTCGAAGTCGGGTAGTTGCAGAAAAGCCGATTCTCTTGAAGCGTTTGAGGAGTTTCAATCTCTCTGAGCACTCCCTTAGATAGGCCTTGACGACGGTGACGAGCCTGCCTCAAGCAGGAGGTGGTGCCCCCGCGTGGAAAACAGGCTGGGATGGGCAGCATAGATGCTTTAGCCTGCGACAGTCGCTAAGTAAAAGGCCCCAGGACAAAGGAAGACTGCACTGCTGTGAAAACAACTGAAACATGTGTAAGCATACTGGCATACCGTTTTATTTCCTGGCTTTGCCAGCCATGTCCAGCAACAGGAAGCAGGACGAATGTAAACAAGTCTAAGCTTGTATGCTTCTTTGTCTGCACTATGTGAGGGCAGCATCTGGCGCATGCGGACCCGTTCCAGAACAAGCCCATTGCTGCTCAGGTGAACTCGTGGGCAGTCTTGAGTGATACCTTAGGTTGCAGAAGTTCTGTGACCGGGGCGCATGCATGTTAACATTGTTGACTCCTCAAAATACTGTTTCAAGCCTCTTCCTGCCCACTTTTGTCTCAGCTGAGTCTTGTAATTTGGATCGCTATTTCTTGCCCCTGACCCATGATCTGCAGGGACAGTCTGCGCTCCTGGCACCTTTTGGTGGCATGAACTCATCAGAGGCTGCCAACTCCTTTTTTGGACCAATCAATCCAAACCCATTTGGTGCCTTGCCCGCCCTGGTGTTTCATGACATCTTCATGCTAACGACATCTGCTTCCGGCAGCCAGATAGCAGACAGCTGGGCTCCGATGAGGTGCAGCAAGCATCGGAACCACGCGCCCCTTCAACTTTGCGGCTCTAGGTCTGGCCAGCCTTGAATGGTAGACTGACGGCCACTTCTGCCACCGGTCTTTCTGTGCCCTGTCCAGGAGGATCATTGCGAGATGGTGGCAACCTTTTCCCGAACCAGGGGTCCACCCCTACTTCGTACATGAGTCGAGGTATCGACCAGGTGCTGGCGCATGCAAGGAGCCTTGAGGGGACAAGATCACATTCCAAGCGAGGAGCCACGGGGGACAACCTTCGGGGCTTTCGAGCCTCCACCGCCCCCGCGCAGTGCTCCCTCCTTGCTGCTCGGCCGACTGCGAGGTACAGTCAAGATCCAGCTTGAGCATGATTTAAATGTTACCGAGGTACGGAGAGAGTAACGTGCAAGCACCTCTCATGCAGCCTATGCCAGAGACACTGCCTTGGAACGAGCCGCGACGAGGCAGGAATTCTGCATTGACTCTTCTTTTTTGGAACAGCCTGCACACATTGGAGGTGTGGGTGTCACGCAGAACCTCGGATCATTGGAAGCTGCTCATGGCCCCAAAGCAGGCTTCAGCTTAGGCAGGACCAATGTGCCAGCATGGACAGTAACTTTAGTCAGCTTGGGCAGGCAGCCAGTCCAGATACGAGTTGAGAGTCCGGATGTCTGACAGCCACTGGGAAAGCCTCAGATTCTCCGCGAGTCGCTCGGCAGATTCTTAGGCTGTGGGCTTTGATGTGTCATGAATGACATGCGTGTGGTCTAGCCCAAGAAGTGGTGTTATAGTGTGCATCCAGTTCCAAGGTGACGACCTTGACTCCCAAGGCAGGCAGTTCATCCAGAGCAACTCAGTGCAATAATGTGTTTTCAAACGCCTTGTGCAACAGTGACGGGCTGCAATGCTTTGAGTATGGAAGGTGGTGATCACGAATTTGAAGCAACTCAGGATATGGGCTCAAGAATGCCTTCCTTTCTGGTCTTGTGGCACGTTTGCGGCAGATGGCATCAAGCCGACAAGATTATGATGCTTGGCAGCATTCTCCGAAGCAAAGGTAAGGATAAGCAAGCTGCAACGCATGTGAAGACCTACACTACAGCGGTACCTATACTTCGGCGCAAGGACTGCGTGGACGTGGTGGACCTCATCTGATTTTCCGTACGTGCATGGGCAGATGCCCGGTAGAAGTATAATTCCATGTGGTATAAGAGATGTTTAGACTAGCTGCCTCCTGTACAGCAACCGGTGACAGCCTTTGATTGGTGAGATGCGCGACACCCAGCTCTTGCCTTTCCCACTGCCGCGGAGAGTGCATTTACATGATTGCCCACAAGCGGCAACTTCCAGGGAAAATGCAAAGGGACCCGCCTTGATACCACGCTCAAGCTTAAGTGCATGACGATACAGGAGGATGTATGACTGATGGCTTCCAGCCAGGTATGCGCGGCCTTTGATGGAGAAGCTGGTCCATCTCCTAGCTCGTTTGTGAATTCAGGAGACAAGACACACACCACGCGAGAAAAGGTCATGAAGCTTCAAGGTTCTCAACATCGGGGGGTCTGACTCTTAGCAGTGAATGAGTGAGACAACTCAGAGGGTTTCCGGAAAGCAATGTACCTTGCCTGCATTGCGTGAAGTTGCAGGTCCGAGAGGAGGCCATCACTTCGATCGCAGTCATTGCAGGTGTGATGGAGCAGGAAGGTTCTGTCATGCAGCATGTTTCAGTAAGTGCGAAGGATGTGAGAAATGCTTCGATGTGATGCGTCAGGACTTTGTGCAGTACTACGACAGCATCATGCCGATGTTGAAGCAATTCGTGATGACTGCGACCAGCAAGAAGGTGCTTTACAAAAAAGCTCAGAAGTCATGCATCAAGCTATGCTGTCACTTGTCAAGTTATGCTTGCAAGCCAAATTAGCTTAGCTACGTCGCGCATAAGGAGAACCGTCTTCGTGGCAAGTCTTTCGAGTGCATGTCGCTGCCTGGGCCTCAGCTCATTGATGCCAACGAGGCACAGAAAACTAGGCCATGATCTGCAAATGTGCTTCCGCAAACGACAAAAGGCTCCTGCATGCTTGCGAGGTTTGCCCATTGTACAGCATGTTGTAGGCAAATAGTTTTGTTGACAAGCAAGTTGTTGCGTGACAAGCTCAGGCTTGGCATTGCCGTTGGAAAGGACAGCTGTTCACACCACACGTGGCTCATTCCGAAGGTCTAGGAAAGCGCTGGGCACCAGCTACTGGTCTTTGCAGGAGAAATTTCTGAATGATGCAAGGGAAGCCATCGGAGCAATGATGAACACACAGGTGGAGGTGCTGGGCTTCTTCAAATGTAGTCCCCGTCAAGTAGATAGAATGTGGGGTATATGGGGATCTAATTATACCATACCCAAAGCCGTATTCTTTCTACTTAGGGGGACTACAACAACTTCCGCCATTCTTGAGGGTACAGATTTCTGCTCCAGGCTGATGATGTCCAAAGGGAGTCACCCCGGCTGATTGATTCGATAGGTGGATACTGCTCTACTGACTTAGCATCAATGATTGTGCATCATGTTTGAACAAGCTTTTCCTGTCAGGTACATCAAGGAGGCCTCCGAGCGAATCTGCACTTGCCTCAAGAAGGCGGGCTTCTTGAAAAAAGGCTGAACTTTGCCCTCATGGGGAGATTAATGCTAAGCCCAAAGAATTGAGGAAGCAGCAATTACCGTTCAAGCGCAAAAAAGCAATCTTTGGAGAAGACAGAAGACTATGCCACGGCTATCTTTCGTTGCCGTTGAAACGTCATGGAAGCCACGCTCAATATGACCTGGGAAGGACTTCAAGCCTTTCTTGCAGCCGCTTCTGCCGGGAATCTTCAGGCAGGGGTAAACTCGGTCTTGGAGCCTGCCGGACTCAAAGATAGTCTACTAATGATAGTCATCACGATGCAGCAGCATTCATCATCTGAAGAATTCCTGTTTCGTTATAGTTTGATGCCGATGATTCCGTGCTGTAGTGGCCTTCACCGAAGAGATGACGTGAGTTACCAAGGGGTTGTCACTTGCGGTCAGAACCAGCTCCAGTCACTTCCATTCAAGTTGGCGCAGGAATCTTCGCTTCGACGACCTGAATGAACAGGCCCCGCACACACGACCATGGCTCATTGTTATGCTCCTCTCTGCTATGCTACAAGCCCATAAGACAGCCGCAGTTGACTGGCCGCTCGTAAAGCAGGCGCCCGCTTCTGGTGGAGCTGATGACGATGATTACATCAAGGCCCAACCTCAAATTTTACAGCTGTAGGCAGCAAACTACCTAGTTTCATTGGAGTCACTTTCAGTAGACTCTTTGAGGTAGTGCTTTGTCCATAGCACTGTGCATGGCGGTCTCGTGCGCGCCAACACAGAACAAGGATGCCTTGCACGAAGGTCTCAACTGGAGATGGAAAGACCGTCCGAGTCCACAGCGAGAAGTTCCAGGACATGATGCAGTCTGCGCCGTGTCTGCTCTAACTGCAGCAAGTGCCAACCTGATTTCAGCAAAGCAAGTCTGAGGTGCAGCTACTGCACACCTTCGTGACGGAGATGGAGTCAGGAATCCTTGCAGTCCCAAGTTGTCAAGGCACATGCCCCCCTACTGGTCAGTCACGCAGGATACTTCGAAGCCATTCCTGACACGGCCCAGGCTCTTGAGATTGGAGTGTTGAGGCCATGAGTTGTAGCTCCTGGTGCAACTCCAACCTGGAAGGTGCTGTTGCCTCTACTTTCGGCCACCGACGATTCTTCCATGCTTTGTGAGGAGGCTCCAAACATGGGCGGTCAAACGGCGATTCGATCCTCAGCCTGTTGCAGGTCAGGGGAACGGCTCTGCAGGTGTGGGCCTTGCTGATTAAGTCAGCTAAGCTTGGCGCGCAGGACGGGTGATCTGCTTGCACTTAAAGAGGGTCAGTCGCTTGATGTTGCTCGGTGTCGCGCTAGGAGAGAGGCCAGGATAACGTCGCCGGCCCAGGGAAGGCATGTTACAGGATCCCACATAGCCACACTAGACTTGGCAATTTGGGGTGCTGGCCAGCACTCAGGTTATGGCAAAAGAGCTGCTGCAGAAGGGCTTGGAGGCATCAGGTGTGGGAAAGGGGGAAGGAAGGCTTTGGCAGGCATTGTCCTTGCACGGTTCAGGAGCAAGCGGCTGCAGTCAAGCGTTCTGTTGTCTTGGGCTGTGCTGACCCTGCAGGCTGCTTTCCAACAGCTTCAGCAGTACCAGGCGGATGCGTCGTTTGCTGTGGCGGGCTGTGGCCCTGTATGGGCAGTCTGTGCTGTCCAGGACGCCGAAGTGCTTCAAGAGCTGTCATCCGGTGTGGCCGAGTGTATCAAGAACGTGCCCTGCTTACATCCTGTTCCCCTGTCTCAGTGAAGATCTTGCCTTTGCTCTAGGTGGGTCCTGGTGTGCTTGGAAGCGACGAGGTGCAGAAGCTGACGGGTAGGCAGGAACCCATTGAACCAGAGTCGAAAACAGGTTTCCTGGCAGTTAGATTTCAGGGCCGCCTATCCGAAAGCTTGAGTTTAAACGCTGATGCATGGTATCATTGAAATCATTGTGGGGCTAGGGCTCAGTCCTGGTTGTTGTCACTGCTATGTCCATCCTCGTTTTCATCATGCGCGCAGCTACTTGTTAAATGCCTTCGCCTTCGTATTTTAACTCTTCAGTAGCAGTGCAGCTGTCATCCATTGTTGCTAACTGCAAGAAGTTGAGCCACTGGCGACGGCCGCAATTTCAAATTCAAAAACAGTAGCCAAGAAGTTGAAACCAGTTGAAAAAAACTGGAAGTGCAAGACGAAGGCTACAGACGAGACACAGAGCACGCTCTTTTTGCAACCTTCTCCACTCGCCCTGGCTTCAATCCAGTTGCAGCCTATCCAGTCTTCGTCGTCTGCTTGCTTTGGTCCCCCTCCACTTCTATCCACATCGTGGCGTCCTCGCGCGCCGCCATCCTTCCGTGTGTTCAAACAGGAAAAAACATGGCTTCAGTCAGGGACGGAGTGAGATCGCAATCCTTGCAATCGTTATCGCCTGGGGCGGCTTCTTGGAGTTGTGTCCTCACGTCCTGCACTTGTGTCATGTCTGGCCTCTGTCATACCTCGTGTCCTGCCTTCACCTTGCCTGTGTCCGCATTTGGGTTGGTGGATCCATCAGGTTGGAGGTGGGTGGATGTAAGGAGGCGAGAAAGCAGGGATGAGACTTGTACCTTGCTTGGAGCACTGTATCTTGTTCGACGGTTGCGGCAAATTTTGCTATGTCTTGTTGCTGCGCTGCCAGTGTCTTCACACTCATGGACCAGTCCCTCCAGCGCAGCCTTGGCCTTAACAGCCTCCACTGTCTGTACGCCATCAACTTTATGGCATCAATTTTCTTTGTGCCAGAGAGCAAAGAGGGCTGCTTATCATGCGTCAGGACGCAATAGGTGTTTCCAGTGTTCAGAGCCTGGTATTCAGAGTCTTTGTGGGGTCTTAAGTTAAATCTTCTCAGCCACCAGGGATGTTGACTCGAAGGAAGCCTGGTCTCAGATGTCCTAATGGCCGAGGCCACAAACATGCCAGCGAGCAGGCCAAGGAAAAGCATGAGGCTTGCATCGGATCTGTGTTGTTAGAGTAAGTACATGTGTCTTTGAACAAGTGGGAGATGCGCCAATGCTGAAGGCCAGCGCCCTGCCGCAAGAGCTGCATGCTGGCGATGAAGATGAAGATGAGCATGACCTCACTGCAGAGGAGGCCTTTGGTTGGGAATAGTTGGCTCGCAAAGCTGTCTTCCCGCAGCACAGCCTTGCAAGATTATGTCCCCACTTCGACATGAAAAGGACCAGCTTCGAAGAAACTACGAAGAGATCTTGGGAGCGATGATGAAGGCCGCTACTCATCATAGCATCTGAGAGGGTCATTGTATCATGAAACCCTCCAAGTGCTGCTGATGGCCTAAATGGGAATGGCGCATGTTTTCCACTTGAAGTCGTGATGCCACCTTAGCGAGATTGCTTGCTTTGACTAGAGGTGTCTCCGGAACAGTTTTTGCCATGCCTCTCCGGATGCGCCCAGCGCATCCAGCAGTGGGCCTCCAGCTCAGATTGTACTTGTTCGAGTAGACGGGACGCGATGCCTCAGCCTGGCCTGAGCACATGGGGAGAGTCCAGGAGGGGACTCGGTGAGGGAACGTCGACAGGGGGCAAAGGATTCCGGGTGCCAGGGGAACGTCCAAACTGCAACCGAGGGCCTTGGCCGGTCAGAAAGCTCATGATGTCTGCCAGGTGGCCACAAAAGAGAACAAGGCCTTTTTGCATGGAAGCTTTGCAGCGGGATCCAGCCAAAAACCAAGCTACGCCAGGTGCTGGGTCTGTACTTAGTCTGTGACCTTTTGGATCACCTGCTGCTGCCTCAGCCCACTTGCAAGATTGACGCGGGTAAGCAGAGAGCGACAACTCAATGACAAGAAAGCGTCAGGAAAGAGCACTCAGAGAGCGCGTGGCCAATCTTCATGCCCAAGATCTTTGAGTCCATCCACGACGAAGATGCTGATGCAAGGACGTGCCTGTTGCAGTGGAGCATGTTTCGACACCACGAATCCTCATGAACATGTTTGCCGCTGGCTCATACATGGAGCTAACCTTACCAACCTTTGCGGAGAGTGCAGGCTGTAACACTGGGTAGTTCTGGTATGCTGGCGATCAGCTCAATAAGCAAGGCAAGGGGGCAATAGCGAACCCGAGCCATCTGCGCGCTGCGATGTCGGGCCTGTGATGAGCTGCCCACTCCTGTCTCGGTCTCCTTCTTTACTCCAGTTGGTGTTCCTTGACTGGAGAAGCGCATGCCTAGGTTGGCTTTCCTGCTGCGGTGCAAATGTATCCTGACAGAGCCCAGCTCAGGGCCCGCAAGCACAACTCATGCAGTCATCCACAGGCACAGGAGGGCTTGCCAAATGCTGGGAAGTGTTACCAGGTACTGCCACAAGGTTGCAGGAGGTACAGGATGCACCTTTCAGCAAGGTGCCTTAGGCATGTAGTGCTCCAGCCTAGAGTCCTAGAGAGCGCGAGCCAGGGGATTTGACAAGAGATTCTCAGCATCTTGGCCAGGCCTTGCTGCACTTCCTGAGCGCAGGCTCTGGACGTTAACAGGGGGTCGCAAGCTTCATGCTGCACGCATCTGCATGCTGCCAGGGGAGGCCAAAGCTGAGACCGTTGCCCTGGCCATTTGCCTGGTTGTGGCGGGTGGGGCTCTGCACGGAGTCGCCATGGCAACTGGCCAGCAGACCCCATTAGGTGGGGGATGCTGTCTGTGCCGCCGTGGTCAGCCCAGGCCCTGCGGAAACATTTTGGCCAAGGCGCTGTTGTGCTGCAGTAGTTCAGCTGCAGCCAAATGCCCCACAAAAACCCTAGAATCATTCTCAGGTTTGCGTTGGATCTTGCTAGGCCACGTGGACTACTGGAAGCAGTGGCGGTGGTGGTCGGGAGTGCTTTGTGATGGTGCTGGAGGCCTTTTCATCTGGCCGGCGATGCCCATTTTGGCGAGACAGGTGCTGATGCCGCTAGCAACAGTCGTTCAGTTGGTGACTGCCTACTCGCTGGCCCTCGCCTTCTTCAGAGAGAAGGTTGCCATTTAAAATCATTTGGGCCTTGTTCTGGCGGTGATTGGTGTTGTGGGCATCAGTGCCTGTTGCCCAGAAATCTTCTTGACGTCAACTGAACCTGCATTTTGTTGGCCTGATAGAAGCCTGCACCCTGAACCTTAAACCTAAAAGGTCAGCAGCCCAGTTCATGCATCAGCACCTGGAGCTGTATCCTTGGGCCGCTGGGAGCAGCCACGTTTTCTTGGCCCGAAGCCCAGCAAGCTCATGTCTAATACACGATTTCTTGACAGTAAAGGGAAAACGGGTAAGATGCTGGCAGGTGCACTCGCCTGCTGCTTGGTCTTGGTGGTGGGCAGCTTCATGTTGCGACTGCCAGCGCGATGGGCGCTAGCCACGGTTCCTTGGCAGACATGGAAGAAATTGTCAGGTGCCAGCTTATTCATGGCACAGCTGCATGGCTCAATGCAGATCTTCTTGCGGCGGAGGCGGCTTGCGAAGCCATTCAGTTTCTAACCTCTCGCACGCTCGCTGGAGCTTTGCTGAGCTGGGGTACCGAGGACATCACCATGAGAGCAACCTGAGGAAGCTTGCGCATAACCAATGAAAAAGCTAAGAGAATGGGACTGTGATCTGCTCTTGCAAATGTTTTTTTGCAGCAACAGTCCATCGTGGCGTTGCTTGCGGCTGCATCAATGAAGGTACCTGTTGGGATTGCATGCCCAGAAAGACACTGCCGGGAGAATACTCCAACTGCACCACCACAGGTTGCTTGCATCATTTGCATCATGCACTTCCAGCAGATGGGAATGGAGGAACGCCGGGGGAGCTTCCACGTTATGCTCGCTGTTTGATCGTCTGAGATGGTGTCCAGGAGGAACTTTCACGCTTCGTTGGGACCTTCATGGTGGCAACGAACCTGTTGACGGTGGTGATGTGCCTGTGCTTCTTCAGAGACCAGGCCATGCGCTTGCATGTTACTCTTACCTTCAGCGGGGCTGTCTTTCTGTCGTGCAAAGCCTGGACCTGTGCAGGTAGTAGTGTCGCTTGTATTCTTCACATCGGCAGCAGCCACTCTGGTTGGCATGTGGCTCCTAAATGTTCTGGATGGACACGCAAGCTCTCACCAATTCGGGCATGGTGAGAAGTGCAGGGAAAGCCTGCATTGAAGAGGGAAACTGCTGCAACATGAAGATTTTAAGTGTGTACAGATGAGGTGTGTAGCCGCAGTGTGCAGAGGTTTCAGGTTGGTGTTGACACAGACGCCTGAATAGTCCTCTGAGTGTGCGTGTTCAAAACAAGAGGAGCAGAAATCGACAAATCTGTGGATGTTTGGCTGTTTCCATGCAACAGATATGCTGGTTTCGGAAGCGAATTTCAGATGAAGCGTGAGTCCGTTAGAAGTCAGAGCCTGTGTGTCATTACTATTTCTTTGTTTTTGTTGTTTGTGAGTGATGTTACTGTAGCTGTGCAGTTTGTTCTTTTTCGGATTGCCGCTAGCACAGATGCAAGTAGTCGCTGGCTTCGACTTGTCAGATTTTGAGCAACGTAGTGGACACGTTTAGTCATGTCATGTGAAGTCAGCGCATGTTGGGTCAATCTCGTACGAGCGAGGACAGCAGCAGCCTACGCAGTGAACCTGGCCGCACCGCTCGCAAAGTTTGCTGAGGCTGCCGCTGCTGTGCAGTTGCTTCATGGCTTCATGGAATGAAGGCACTGACTAGCTCTCAGGCAACACCGGAGGCATTCAAACGCCTCGCTGTCGTTGTCGGAAAGCCGAAGCCCAAGAAGCGGGTCAGCGCCTCAAAAGAAAAGCATTGAAGCGTTTGCTTGGTAAACAGCGGCGATCGTCTTAAGGATGAGAAGGCCAAGGTTGCCATGGACAACGCGGCAGCAGCCCCAAGAGCAACGGCAGATCTGGGGGCCTGACAGCACATGGCCAACTGCTCCTGAGGTAGCTGCCATGTTGTCGTTGCTGAAGGACCCATCCATGCTTCATTCGCACTCGGCGAAGTTTTCCATTCCAGTGGTGTAGTAGAGTGGAAATGATGGAAAGGATAAGGGCCAGCTGTGTCCTCCAGACATTCAGGATCGCGGCCCCAGCTTTTGATGTAGATTCTTCTACAGAAAGCCATGAGGCTACTGTTACTTTTGAGATTTTGTAGCCACTGAGGCCTGGGACCTGGTCCTCGCAAAACTCCCTCTGCGAGATGACTGCGAAGAGGTGCTAAGAAGCTAGCACAGTTTTCAAGTGGGCTTCAGGTTTGCGCGAAAAAGATCTCTGCCAGGCCAAAAAGGTCCACGACAAGCTCATCGACCTCGTCCTTGCTCAGAACCAGGCATGGTTCATGCCCCGTGCAAATATGAGTTGGAAAGAACATCTCGCTGAAAGCAAACGCTGGCACTGAGTTCGCCAATGGAACATCCTTGAACTGCAGGGCCTCCTGGGGCAAGACAATCGGAATCTGGGGTTCTTGTCCAAGCGTCTGAATGATGGATGGTAGTCGTGACGACGTCTGCCTCAACAATGCCAAGGAAAGTGCTGTCCTTCTTGGCTGAGATATACAAGCAAGAAGGCCTGGCTGCAAGTGCGTTAGTGCTGCTTGAGAAAGGCATTTTGTTTCACACCTCCAGTCTCAGCCATGTTTTCTGGAGTTCCTATGCATGCATTAGTCATCATCATCAACTACGACATCACTATCATAATGAGCCATAATCACGAGGCAGTAAGATTTGGTGAGCATGGGAGCACTTCTCATCCTTTGCCAGAAATCTGCACCAAAGAGTGCGACGAGAAGGTCCTGAGAGCGCGGGCCCCGGGGTGTTGCTTCCGAGCTGTTGTTTGTTCAAAGTTCAAAGATCTAATGTGCGGTCTTGAGCCAGCAAGCTATTGTGTCAGCAGCCCTGCCACAAGAGAGGTTGAGCGGTTCAGAGTAGGCGCCTGGCTAGATGTAGCTGTGGAAGACGGGCTTTGTGTCCACCTGGAACGGCTTTGTGCACTCCACTTCGTGACCTCAAGGATGACCTGTGCTTACTGGTTCTTAGTAGGGAAGAAGGGAATACATTATATGTGGATGATATCCCCTTAATTGCCCCCTACTGAAAACCAGTAAGTGTGCCGTACGGAAACTTTGTTCCATTGCCACAGATCTTCAAGTCGCTTCCGCAGAACGTCCTCATTGGCCCAGGCCCCAGTACTTACAGTGCGCGGACAGGATCCTGCACTGCAACTGCGGTGAAGAAAGCTCGCCAATGCGTTTACGTGGCTTTGACAAGGTGCTGCCTCCAGCTTCAGCGAGAAGCAGCAAAAAAAGATTGCCGCTTGCAAACATTTTGGAAGCTATTGGCCACTTGTTCTTCCAAGTCGGTGTCCTGTTTTACCATGGCAATTCCGACAGTGACAGCATATCCCTTGTGTCGCACCGAGGAAAAAATGCTGAGCTCTTGAGCTCTCCGGCTGTGATGGGGTAGTGTGGTCACGCCACCCGGGCCCCAAAACTACCATAAGCCTACCCAACCCAACCAGACTCCACCTTTAAAACGTCTGCGCGACCATGTGAGCCTCGAAGCAGTGCTCAGTGGAATTGCTGTGTCAACTGCTGGGTCGCAGGTCAGTTGACTTCAACAAACACGTACCTTTTTCTCCTGACACTGTCTTCATATAATTTCTGGTTGTCCAGCCGGACCTGCAGAATTCTCGTGCACCCAGCGGACAGAACAGTGGTGCTTGGATGTAGGGCTTGCAAATTGCGAAAGCGCAAGCAGCAGGCATATGACCTATCTGGCTTAGACTGTGCGCTGGGTGCGTTTCGCTCTTTAGCTCGTGTCAGCCACGCGCCCTGCTCCTCAAACCAGGGAGCTTTAAGAGGCGCTAAGCTGCCTTTTTGCGGCCTCACCAACGGCGAGGATTGTTTCAGGAACCTTGGCCTGCAACAAGGTGTCAGATTGCAGTTTCGCAGTTTGAAGGTGTGCTTCCTGTTGCCTGGTCGGTTGCAGAAAGCTGAATGTTTCTGGCCGTCGTTTCCATTTTGTGCTGAGGACGACTGGATGCGGTGCTCTGGCCCTTTGGCATCCTGTCGCTCGGGCGATCAGATAACTTGGCGCAGCGAAAAAGAGAGATTTCGCACATAAAGCAGGCATGCCCATACGTGGTGGCAGCTGCAGAACTTTGCATGCTGTTGTCGGGGCATCCGCCGCACTGGGGTTTTGAACAGGTTCAGGTGATTCGCGGTTGCTAAAAGAGTGTAAGGCAGGAATCTGTCAAAGGACATCAGGCTGGGGATTTGAGCAACTTCAGACACTTTCCACCACATAAACAGGCTTACGGCCGGCCATGGTTTGCATAGCTTTCAGCAATCCCGGATAGGTAAACCCAACACCAACATCCCTCGGAGGAATGGTAGGTTTGAAGTCTGAAATTGAAAGCCGTATAGTTGTATTTGAGTCTTAGGAATTGAGGTGCCAGCTCCAAAGATGTGTTAGCTACCTAATTGGGAATTCATCATATTGGAGATTTTGAGCCTCGTATTTTTTGCATTTTTCATTTACAATGATGATATATCAATTGAACCATTGGGATATTATTTTGGAATTACTTTCTTAGGTACGTGTGCCATATGATACGCAATAGCATTGGATTCTCTTCTTGATCTAGGGACCATGAAATCATATATATATATGCGCTAATAGAAGAAAAATTATCATGATACTAGCTTTCTAAAATGCAAGATTATTTTTGAATAGGGAAAAATTCATCATCGATTCCTTATAACGAGCGTATAACAACCGTTACTAGATAAATATTCGATATTATCGAAAGAATTGGGCATCTTAGAAAATGAATCTGCATCATAAAATAGCTTATCTATTTGAGAAGAAATATCTGGTTAGGAATTTATTTATAAAATTATTCATCGATCTTGTCATCTAGGCGGCTTGAATTTTTGGGAAGGGATTGACAGGAAGAAGTATTTGAATTAATTTCAATCGAAATACTCATGAAATTATGGATTTGAATTATTTAAATTATAAATCTTAATTATTGACATATTTGATCGTGATAATAAGATATATATAATTGGATTTTCATACGAATAAAATATTCGGAGATTTTAGGAAAAACTAGAAATTATTTGGAAATGGTCGGAATGATTAACTATTTCGGAGATTTTTGGTCAGATGATTTTCGAAAGCGGAATATTTTTCGATGCGAATTATTTCTCTTTGATAGATTGATGGAGTATATAGATTTGAGATAGAGAATTAATTTTTTTTTGGATTTATAATTTAGCAATATCTGATTAATAAAAATTTCTTCAAATCATTGCGTATATACGATTTGATATTTCTCGAGATTTCGATGAATTTAGCTTTCTTTGAATATATAAGAGATGATTCGATTTAGATTCTGACGGAAACCTAAAATCTTTCAGAATTTATTAGATTGATCATTTTTAATCGTATATGGTCGTATATATTGATTATTCGTCGAGATAAATCTGCTATCTTATATATCTCTTCTGAATTATTTTTATGGGATTGGCGATATACTTATTCGGAGGAATATATAAGAAATCTGAGATGGAGAATCAAAAATTTTGGGTTTTATATGAGCTATTGTAAAATCTTTCAGAATCTATTAGAATGATTTTTGATTACGTGCGGTCTTATATATTGATTGGTCATCGAGAATATATTTGCGATCTTATATATTATCTTATATATTGATTCTTCTTCATATTTCTTATTAAAGGAATTCTCAAATAAATATTTTTTGTTATAGGCAGCGGATCAAATCTAAT